GATGAGCCCAGAGCCCACACCAGTTTGGGACTGCTTTAATGTCCCGAAGCTCCAAAACAGCATCCCGGGATCCGAGATGCTACCAGACAACCCGTAGAACAGGTGGCGGCCCAAACAGGAGGAGACCTGTAAATCCGCGGATATCTGCGCCCCACTGTTTTCAGCCTCGGCACAGTTCTCCAGCAGCAAAATCAACAGCAGGAGGCGCTCGCTCCAGGACTGGCTTGGGGCCCTAGGAGGCCCCTCAGCAACAGGTAACCCCAGTCCGGTCTCATTTTCCGCACAGCCAGCCGCCCTGCTACCGGATGAAGGTCTCAAAGATGTGGACAGCTTTTCGGGGTGGGCGAGGTGGGGGGTCACACATGGGGCCTGACGGGACGAGGATCCGAGAGGGTCCGGCGACCGTGCTGCACCGACCGGGCGGAACCGAAGGCGGGTCGCCGTGGGGTCGAGGGGACCCCCACACACCGAGAACTACCACCAAGCCACCGTCGTTATCCCAGAAGCCCGGTAACCAAAGAGACCGGGCCGAGACTACGAGGACTTCCAGGGCCCCACTGCGAGCTACAAGCAGGGGAAAGAAAAGAAATCCACTCCTCTCATTTCTCCGGCTGAGACTCTCAACGTCAATTATAATTTCCTTGCCCCTCCTACCCCAGCCGTGCTTGAGGCCCAGAGCTCCTTAATGGAAACTCAATTTGCGGGCAGCTGCAAAGCCACACTTATTTATCGGAGAATTGATTGGGTCCGGTTGGCCACACATCAGGATGAGCAGCGCAGAGGAGCGATACAGAGCGATAGGAAACAAATGAATAAATTAAGAATGGGACCCAGCTGGTCAAACGGCGCTTTTTAATAAATTAGACCAAACTGCCAGGGAGGGGGGGCTTTAATATACTAATAATACAAACCACTGGACACAAAACTTATATAAAAGGAGCGTATTTTTCCCAGAATATCGAACTGTACTTTTCTGTCAGCATCCAGACATTAATTAAACCTCTTAATCAGAAATGCTATCTGAGAAAAAAAGTCTCACACCAGAACTGAACGCGTGTGCGGGTAGGCAATACAACCCGCCACAGGTTCTGACCGAAACGGACCGGTACCTCAGGGCTGCTCACCGCCCGGTACCACGGCGCCACCCTCAACCTTTTCTCTCAGGTGGGCTTCACAGCGAGGAAAGCGCTTTTATTTCCGGAGACGGTTGCCATGAGAAATGTTCCCGTTTTCTGTCCCGCTTGCAGTTTTCCAAACGGCGGTCCCGGGCCAGCCCACTGACACGAACCCCACTACCTCAGCTCACCCGCCAGTGACCTCCGGGTCTTACTTTTCCGAGAGACATTGTCCCCCAGAGTCTTTCCCGGACGTTCAGAAACGTCTTCAAACCCGGAGAGCGATCTTGGGCGGAGAGAGAAACAAAACCCAGTTTTGACCGGTGGGAAACGGGCTTCGCCCCCAAAACCCAAAATAGCGGTTCGCGAAAAGTCTGGTAACCCCCCCACACACACACACAAACACACAACCTGTGGATAAACTCGCATCCCAGTGCTGTCGGGGCCCCCCACACCCGCCGCAGAGTCCCGAGACGGGGGGCCTCGAGCTCGGGGGCGCGACGTCACAGCGCTCTGCACCGCGGCCCCGCGCGGGG